TTACTGAGCTGCTGGTTTTCCTCTCTGTCTACCAGGATCCATCAGAACCCAGAACATCCAGAACCAGGACAAGAACCCAGCAGTGTGTCTATGAGGAGTGATGGATCAATGGTTGAAGTCATTGATTTTAAAAGACGAAAATGTTCTGCTGGAGAGAAGTAAGATACTGACACTGAAGTGCATCCTCACAGAGACACACAACATGAACACAGAGACACACAACATGAGCACAGAGATTCAAACCTATGGCTGCGGCGTCGGGGACTAAAGCCCCTGTTTATGGGTCGCCTGTTCCACCAGTTGAGCCACCAGGGCACTCCCAATATTGTGTGAAAGAAAAGCAGCAAATGTTTCACTTTGTTCTGCTGTTTATGTGTTTGTTGTTGAGTTGTTGTAACTTTGTTGGTCCAGACGTTTGTTAGCAGTACACCAACAGCTCACTGACCTTCTCCTGTCTAATGATACCTTTGATACTTTCCAATCAGGCTTTAGGCCCCACCACAGCACTGAGACAGCGCTGATCAAGGTGACAAATGATCTCTCACTAAACACAGACCCAAGCAGGGTCTCAGTCTTAGTTTTACTGGACCTGAGCGCTGCCATTGACACAGTGGACCATGTGACCTTATTAGAGAAGTTGGAAAACTGGGTGGGAGTCTCTGGTACTGCTCTAGACTGGTGTAAGTCCTATCTGGAGGACAGGACTCACGTTGTTGAGATTGGTAGCTCTGTCTCTGACCGAATGGCCGTGACCTGTGGGGTTCTTCAGAAGTCGATCCTGGGACCCCTCTTGTTCACCCTCCACATGCTTCCATGAGGTCAGCTGATACGCAGCAATAATGTGTCCTACCACAGTTACGCAGATGACACTCAGATCTATGTGTCAGTGACGGCAGGTGAACATGGGCCTGTAGATTCACTCTGTGGCTGCATTGAACGGATCAGTGTGTGGATGCTAAATGACTTTCTCCAGCTAAACTCTGACAAAACTGAAATCATTGTCTTTGGCCCACAGAAACAAAGAGAAAGTGTCATCGGTCACCTTGAGATTGTCGCTCTAAAACCTAAAAGTCAGGTTAGAACTCTAGCGGTAAGAATGGCCTCAGACCTGAACTTTAACAGCCACATTAAGTCAATACCATCAGCAGCTTTTTATCATCTAAAAAACATTGCCTGAGGCTGCTGGGAGGTCGAATTTTTGCAGTAGCGTTAGAGTCCAAAGCTTTGAAACAGCCTTCCTCTTTCAATCTAATGATATTTTCAAGAAAAACCTTAAGATGTACATGTTTTCAATGGCTTTTGGCTGTTCTTAATGGTCTTAAGATTTCAGATGTATTTTATTTTAAAAATTGATCTACTTCAAGCTATTTTATGTTGTTTAACTGACTGATTTTACTAGTTATATATTGTCTATACATTTATGTTGTCGATTATATTTTATATTGTCTGTATGCACATCTTTGTTTTGCTGCCTCTGTGAGCATGTACAGCACTACATAGGTACATTTGATTTGATGTAATTTGTCTCTGTGTGGACAGACGTACTGAGAGCTAACTGTTGATGTTGATCCACAGAGTCCAGCAGCAGAGCTCAGAGGTTCCCAGNGAGGTCAGAGGAGGATTGTTAGAGGTCGGAGCAGGACGGTTGGAGGTCAGAGGAGGACGATCGGAGGAGGATTGTTAGAGGTTGGAGGAGGATGGCTGGAAGT